TTTATTTTTATTTTTTTATTTTATATTCTTGCTGTACTATGGATGAGACCCAAAGCCCATGTTTGCTAAATACTCTTCTACTCCCAATACGAATATTTTTATTAAAGCAATTGTACCAGTATTTTATACTAATATGTTTCTTTGGATCTATACATATATATACACATATACATATAATGTATTCCTCAAAAAAATTGTGTTTATTTTAGTGGTGGTGAGATTTAATATACTATCACTTTATTTTCCTTTGTATTCTTTTTTATTTCTTGGTGCCATTTGTAGGGCTTGAACTTTGGGCCTTAGTTAGCATTTTTAGTCACAGTTGGTGTGCTTTACTAGGCCTTCAGTTCTACATTTTTCTGCTTAATTGGAAATAAGGCCTCATTTATTTGTCTATACTAGTTGACTTCAAACCAGGTTTCTCGGTAGGTTGAGCTACCAGAACCTGACTTCTTTGCACTCTTTTAAATTAAGTAATCTCTGAGAGGTATGTATTGATTTTTTCAGTAGTGGCTTCTTTTAGCTGTCCTGTTTGAACTCAGGTCCTGGTGCTGAGCCTCTTTGTGCTCAAGGCTAGCACTCTACCATTTGAACCACAGCACCACTTCTATCTTTTTCTGAGTGGTTTATTGGAGATAAGAGACTCACAGACTTTCCTGCCCAGGCTGGTTTTAAACTGAAATCATCAGATCTCAACCTCCTGAGTAGCTAGGATTATAGGCAAGAAACACTGGCACCCCGCTTGAGGCTTATTTTATTTTTGTTCTTTCAAAATACAAGGTGAAAACACAAGCAAGAGAAGATAAAAAAATATCATCACAGAGTAACGAGGATAATAGTATCAGAATTTTTCTAAAATTATTTCTATGACTTTCAGGGTCACAAAAATCTCTTCTCCCCTGTCCATGTCTTTGCAATCACCTGAAAGACATTGTAGTCACCAGGACCCACTATGATGAAATGCTAATTACAAGATAATGACATACTCTCAGCCAGTGTCTCTCAGTATAGATTCACTTCCTAATGAGCAGTTATAAAGCTATTAAACTTATGCTTTTAGAAGTTGTAACTCTGCCTAGCACTGGGAGTTCATGCTTATAATCCTAGCTATACAGGAAGCTGAGATCTGAGGATTGAAGTTTGAAGCCAACCCAGGCAGGAAAGTCCTTAGACTTATCTCCAATAAACTACTTTAAAAAGCCTTAAAATGGTGCTGTGGCTCAAGTGGTACAGTGCTCACTTTGAGCAAAAGAACCTCAGGGATAGGGCCCAGGTCAGTTATAACTCTTTGGTTCTTTAAACAATTTGGCAAGTAGCATCTTTCCTTAATCTTTGGGGGCTTTCACAGGATAGAAATAAAATTCTCATGAACACTGATGTTCCAACTATTTATATTCTGTGGTAAACTGTTTATATCTTCTCTTTTCATGGAGCTAACTTTCTCAGTATCATGTTATAAATACATGTGCAACTTACAAATCAAAGCTGCAGAAATGAAAAAAAAATTTAAAAAGCCAGATGTAGTTAAAAAAAAACATTTGTTTTTATTTTCCATTATGCCTCATTAAAAAAGATACAATTTAATTAGTAGTACATTATTGAACTGAAAGAACCAAGTAACTAGTTTTGGTCAAGGATATGAATTTACAGTTTACAAACACCCACTAAAACAATTAAAAATGAAATAAATATATTTACATTTCATATTTCTGATATTTTCATTGCATTTTAATATGTATAAAATATAGAACATTTATAATAGTTTATTTTTCTTCAAAACTAAATTATAATGTGCAAAGGAGTGATGATTTTTCAAGTGTTAGGTAATAAGAATAAATCATGAATGACAATTTTAGAAGTAAAGATAAAGTGATTACTGAAGGAAAGCTCAACAATATAGCAGTGATAGTAGCAAAAGGGTTTGTTTCTTTTTATTAATATTGAAACATCTACACTTACCTTAAAAAGTTAAGCACAAGATTGCCCTTGGACTTTTAGTGCTTCTCCACACAACTGATTCCAAGCAGTAATTTGAAATTACTGTTAGGATTATTACTTTCCCTCAGTCATAAATCAAACTTCTTTTAAATCAGAGCACTCTGCGTAGACAAAGTTTATGAATAAGCTTTGTCACTGAGAATGAGGGAAATATTCACCCATAAACCAATGCACCCAAAGGAGGCCTGATTTCTCTGCTCACTAATGCAGACTTGGCATTTATTTTCAAGTAATTGCTCTTCTTCTTGCAGAATGACAGTTTTATGAGTGAAGCTTTAAAACAATAAGTTGGTTCATGCCTGAAATATGGGTAGGAAATGGCTACCTAATTCTTCTTCCTTTAAAACTAAGATTAGATAGTAAGTACTGGGGGAATGCATTACATTTATAGCATCTCTTAAAGCATTTTTGAAATAAATACATTTTGCAATATAACAAATCAAAAATTCTCCCTCTTTAATGTACTTCAGCTTAAATGATTTGTTAATCTTTATCGGCCAAAATAAATTATTGTCATTTTGCAGTGTTCAAATAATTCTGAACTCTCTTCTCTCACTGCACTGAACTATTTATATTATGCTCCTTTAAGCTCACATTGTGTACACTGTAATGAATCATTTCATGATTACACACACAGGCACACATTCGCACATGAATATACATACATACATAAATATGCCAAGGCACTGGAGGAGTTAACCTATAATTTAACATTCTGTTATTAAACTATGCTCAATACACAAAAAATTTATGAAAAAATTTACATCTGACCTAATTTGCATGAGAAACAGAAATCATGAGTATTTTTGTTCATTTCTAAACTTTCTCACTCAAGTAGTCCAAGTCATAATGAATGACAATGGCTTATTATCACACTGTAATGCATATATTTAGCCATAATTGTTAGATTTATGAAAAACAGAAGTGCATTTTCCTAACTGGTGGCTATCTCAATAATCATGTTAAATGCCAATTGGTGTTTTTTCTTCAATCAATAGTATCAAAAATAACAATAAGGATATTATCCTAGGTTTTAATTCAAGTAACAATTTGCAATGTAATTTAAAGTACATTAACTGTATATGAAACATATTCTTTCAATATAATTTAAGATAATTTATTTTATATATATATATATATATATATACATATATGTATATGTGTGTCTGTGAGCATTTTGGGCAAAAGTCATATTCATATATATATATATATATATATATATATATATATATATATAAAACCATTGTACAGAATTGCTGTTGTTATATACTTGAGCACAGGCTAGATTTTTATGTTAGGACAAAAATGTCTACTTGATTAAATGTTTGGTATTCTTTAAAATAAAATTTTTAATACAATTTGAAATTAAGTATAATGTTTGTATGATAAGTTACATTTTTAAATTTTTTATTTTTATTTATTGATTTGCTTTTTGACAACTACAGAAAGATCATGGAACCTGAGTTCAGTGATCTTCCCTACACCTGGGCCATACTGAAATTTCACTTTTGTAATTAGGAGAAGTCAATAGTACTTGCCAGAGTTGAGAATCCTTAAATTTTGCTACAAGTATTGAGTTTGGTTTATATAGTATATGTTAACCACAATTTGCTATCTTAATTCTGATTATGTATTCAATTTTAGGATCAAAATAAAATATATTTAACGATCTTTAACAACCAACTTTCTCAGGTTCTTTTGATAATGCATCTTAGATCCAAATTAACACTTGTTCAAGTCTAATTATGAAATATATTTTTAATTTAATGTATTTCAGTAATCTGATGTAATGATTATTTCTAATAAATATGAATTTTGATATTGACAGCGAACATGTGTCCATAAAAATAAATAATTTTATTTCTTTTTGGAGTTTTCAAATGTCTATTAGACACTAAGTCAATTTGGTTAGAAAACATTGTGATAGATTTAGTTAGAAAGAGGTAAGTTGTAAGAAGTTTGTATTTTTTGTTTTGTTTTTGTTTGACTTCTTAATAAGAAGCTTGTTGTTTAAAAGCAGAGAACAATAAATCTGTAATGAATGACAGGGAAAGTTAAACATAGTATAACCAGTTACTGAGTCATGGGTGCGTATCTTCAAAACTTTCCAACTTCTAGCTTTTCCTAATATTCTTAAAGTAAAATACCCATAGAGCTTGGCTTTTCTTAATTTTTCTTCATGATATGCTAAGATAAATATTTTAACTTGGATTTTTCACATCTCACTATGAAGAATCATAAAATGATATGCATTTTATTCATAACCTGACATGTGGATTTGTAACTTCTTGCACAATCCTTTAATAAAATTATTACTCAAATGAAAATAATAGTTCTGAGAATGCTTTGAGGTTTAGGGTTAAAAATATTTATACCTTATTTGTTGATAATTTCTCTACACAAGGGTTTTAGGGTCACTCAGAATTTATGAAATTCATTTGATAGTAAATATCATTAGGTAAATATAAATTTATCGTAAAAGGTAGAAGAGGTATTCATGCATAATTTGGTCATTCATGATTAAATCATTATGTTTTGGGCATATTTTAGAATATTAACATTGGCGATTAATAAAACATCTGAATCTCAGCAATGCCAGGTAGATATGGTGCATATTGTGTTTTGTGTATCACAGTCAAGATAGTTGTGTTACTCTTAAAAGGAGTTGAGAATCAGATAAACTGGTGACCCAGTGCAAAATTATGTTGTGAAATAAAAAACAAATTACACCAGCAAGTTAAAGTGCTTCCTTTTTTGATAAGGTTTTTTGATGTTTGTTTTTGTGGGTATTTTTTTTTTTTGCATGCTCTTGTCAATTTTTTAAAACCTCTTTACACTCATAATACAATGATAGGGCATTAGTTCATGATCTGGCCCAATATGCATTGGTCATACAAAATAATCTAAAATACAGAAATAACTATTTAATTGGTATTTTATTTATAGGTAGCTTACAATTTTTATATTATTTACATATTCTTTATACCATCTATTCTTTTTTCTTTAATTTTGTGAAAGCAGTGAACTGGTAGAAATCAACCAAATGAGAACTGGCAGTTTTGTTCCTTTTGGATTATTTACAGATGCCTTCCAGAATAGCAACATGCTAGAGATACCTCATGACCTCTTTTTCTGCTGAAACTTCACTCTGACTCCATTGTTGACTTGATGACATCACTATTTCTCCAAGGTGTAAAGGATGAATACATTTCTTTGTTTATCTAGTCATGGTAAGTGTCAAGGCAGACATCAGTATGTCAAGTCATATACTTTGCCTTGCTTGTAGTAGCAGAGCTGGAAGCAACAGAAGCAGTAGCCTGGTTGCCTAAAAATAGAGGGTCCAAACAAGCTACTTTGGCAGCAAAGAATGAATGAATACAGTGAAGAACAGCAAATAGATTTGAAAATTCCAACTCCTGAAAGGAAAAGAGAAATAGGTCAGATAGCACAAAAATAGACTTAAAAAAATTGATAGTAAATAATATTTTAAGTGCTATAAACTTATCTACAAGGACCAGTATATACACAAAAGTAATTTCTAATGTAGACTTTTTTGGTCAATATATGTATTGAAGATTTGCATCTGTGTAAGAGATAAAAGGATTAAATATTCTTATCATCTATGAAAGTCATTTCAGGTTTTATAATACCTCACAAAGTTGAATTTTACTTCTTATTCAGTTCAGACAATCTTGAAAATACTTTAACAAATATTTATATGTCTTTATATGAACTTTAAATGATAAACATTCATTAGAACAACTAAAAATATATTTACTCTTTTCCAGAAAGAATAACTATCATTGAAATGGCATTTGAAATGACAAAAGCAAGAAGTAAGAATATTTATGATGCTATAAGTCAAAACACAAAAGTAATTATTTCATTAATTATAATTGTGCCAGTTAATTACATAATTAATTGTTAGTAGCAGTTAATAATGTAAAGAAAATAAAAATCAGGTAGAGCCCACTAATTTGTTTTGGAGTTTTAGAAATAGGTTTCCCAGTTTGATCAGGTAGATTATTGGTAGTAACAAAAGGATTTATATTGTAAGAAAAACAGAAAATATTTTTTCCAATCTACCAATGCTATTAAAGTAGCTGCAAAACTCCAAGGTAATGTTTAGGATAGATTTGAAGAGATAATATCATGAATATTTTTATGAAAGACCAACAATAGTCTCGTAACATGTTTTAATGCTATGGGGATTATAAAACTCATACAAAGCCGGGTGCCGGTAGCTCAAGCCTGTAATCCTAGCTACTCCAAAGGCTGAGATTGAGGATCATGGTTCAAAGCCATCCCAGGCAGGAAACTCTGTGAGACTCTTTTCTCGAATAAACCACTAGAAAACTGGAAGTGGCTCTGTGGCTCAAGCGATAGAGCGCTCGCCTTGTGCTGAAGAGCGATAAGGCCCAGAGTTCAAGTCCCCGTACTCTTGTACATTTGTATGTTAAAAAAGTTAATATGCAGAACTGGCCCCATTGTGGGTAACAAATAGGTAATAAATGATTGAAATTGCTGATCAAGTTATTGCTATTTCATTATATATTTGCAACACAGGATGCAGAATTATAGTTAATTTGCACACTAATCATTGAGTTCATAATTCATACTATTTGCAGTGGAAGATAATACAAATCATCCAATCAATTAAGACTCATTAAAATATTGGCATATCATAGAGCCATTTAAACAAAACAAATCACTTTAAGGGAATTTTCTTTGATTAGGATCTAAGGTAGAGTGTAAATATAGTCATAGGCCTATGCCACAGAGAAGGTAGGGCTCTGATGTCACAATGGGTACTTTACAATCTTCTGTACTTTTCAGTCAGTTTCCAGTGGCAACTGGTGACATTCCAGAAAAAAATGAAAAACATTCTTTACAAATTCTCATTCTTAAAATTCTTAATTAATTTATGTCGGTATTGATGTTTGAATCTAATTATTCATATTTGCAAGAAAGGTGCTCTATCATTTAAGCCATATATCCAGCCCTATATGCTCTGCTTATTTTTGTGGTAGGCCTTTGCTTTGTTCTAGCCAGGACCATGAACTTCCTATTTATGCTTTCTACCGTAGTTAGAAGGACAAGAATTTACCAAGGTACCAAGTATCACCATTGATTGTGTCCAGTATTGGTTAAAAGTATTTTGCCTGGGCCGACCTTGAGAGAGAGAGGTCAATCTCTCTGTCTCTATCTCTCAAATAACAAGAATGATAACAAGCATGAGCCATCAGCACACTTCATTGTTATTAATGAGCAATAAGTTGCTTATAAACTAAAAGGTTTAGTCTTGCCTAAACTCACCCTGATAATTCTCCATTTACTGTAGTGCACTGTATGCAGCCAGTTTGTCTTAATTATCTTACACAGAATAATTTTGGTATAAAAGCATTTTAACAAATTTACCAGATATGAAAAACACCAGACATTTTTGGAAAATTCAAGATTTTTCTGTGCATTATTGAAAATAAAACAATAATGAAAACATTGAATTCATTCTTGGTAAGAAAAATATTTCTTGATAAGAAAAAATAAGCTGTTACAATTGATCAAAATACTCTAACAATCATTTTTTTTCAAAAAATATATATGTATTTTTTGTCGATTGTGGGACTGCGCTCTTCAGCTCAAAGCGAGCGCTCTACCACCTGAGTCACAACACCACCTCCAATTTTCTAGTGGTTTATTGGAGATAAGTCTCACAGAATTGACTGCCTGGGCTGGCTTTGAACTGTGATCCTCAGATCTCAGCCTCCTGAGATTACAGGATTACAGGTGTGAGCCACTGGCACCCGACTTCAAAAATATTTCAAAAATTCAATATTATATTTTGATTGCAGAAATTATCAAATGCCTCAAAATTAAGATTAAGGTTACCAATTTTTCTTGCCTACCTTGTTAATTATCTGTCAATAAAAAGTGTTGATTGGGACTTTAACACTTTTACATCTTTATTTGGGAAGAGAGTGGTGGTAATAATGCCAGGTAATTAGAAAGGACAGCAGTAGACAGAGTTGAATTCAGATTTTGCCTTTGATTTCAATGTCAGCTCATCCACAATATCTTGTCTTAAAAAAACAGAATTTTAAGTGGAACACAGTCTCTAACATTCAGTAGAAAAATCACTCACTATACTAATAGCATAATATTAAACTGCATAAAAATGCCATCAATATTTGCTAAGATTGATATGATGGTGAGTTTAGCATTATCTGGTAAATATTATTTAATAATACCAGTAAAATTGATTAAGCACATGTGTAAAATGAGAAAATTGAAAATCTGAATAATGACATAGAAACTTTAGAAAACAAATAGAAGACATAAAAGAGCTAATGGAGGGCTGGGAAGGTCGCTCAGTGGTAGACTGCTTGCCTTGCATGCATGAGGCCCTAAGTTCGACTCCTCAACACCATATAAGAAGAAAAAGCTGGAAGTGGTGCTGTGGCTCAAATCGTAGAGCACTACCCTTGAGCTGAAGAGCTGAGGGACAGCACTCAGGCCCAAGGTTCAAGCCTCATGACCAAAAAAAAAGCAAACGGAATCTTGAACTTCCTGGATCAACAGGAAAAGGCAAGGATCACAGGAGAAAAAAAAATCAGTGAACTAGATAAAAGAACAGGGAAAATAAACACACAGTATGAAAGATTTTAAGAAATGAAAAAAGAAATGACCATCAGTATACTGTGTCATGAAAAAAATTATATAAAAGTTATGTCATCAGAGTTCAAAAGGAGAAGAATATTGAAGAACTAAAAAATATGAAAAAGATACAATAACTGAAAATTTGGTAATGTTAGAAGAAGTGTAACTTTTGAGTGGAATTCAAGATAAACTCAAAAAGATTCTTCATAAGACACAGCAGATTTAAATTTCTCAAAACTAAAGCCAGCAAGAAATCTTGATAGCAGCAAGAAAGAAAACCTTACCTATAGAACACAATTCAAAGACAGAAATTCTCATCAGAAATCAAAAAGCCAGAAGCAAGTGACACAACAATTTTCAACTGCTAAAAGAACAGAACTCTACACTGAATCCTATGTACAACAAAATATTGCTTAAGACATTCTGGAATATAGAAGTCCTAACCTGAATAAAATAACTCAAAAAGGGAGTCAGTTTCAGGTATCTCATACTTTTAATCCTAATTACTTGTTAGATTTAGGGATTGGCAATCAAAGTCAGCCTGGGCAGGATTGTGACACTCTTATTTTCATTTAATTAGCAAAAATATGGGAAGTAGAAATATGGCTCAAAAAGTAGAGTTCTGCCATTGATCAAAAAAGCAGAGGAATATCAAGAAGCAACTCTATTTGAACTATCCTTTAAAAACATAAAATAACTGGGAATAAACCTAACCAAGGAAACAAAAGGCCTTTATAGCAAAAACGATTTCATGCAGTCCCAATCAAACTTACAATGATGTTCTTTACTGAGACAGAGAAAGCAATCCAAAACTTCATATGGAACAACAGAAACCCCGAATAGCTAAACAATTCTATTCAAAAAAAAGCAATGTTGATGGTATCACAATCACAATGGTATCACAGACCTCAAACTACTACAGAGCTATAACAGAAACAGCTTAGTATTAACTAAAAAATAGACCCCAAGACAGAAGCAGACAAGGAAATCCACAAATCAAACCATATACTTAGAGTTACCTAATATTTAATAGGGAGCCAAAGTTATAGATTGGGAAAAAAGATAGCTCTTTCAATAATTGGGAAAACTGAGCATCCATATTAAAAAAAAAAAACTAAAATTGGATCCCTGTTTGCTACCATGAACTAATATCAACTCAAAGTGGATCAAATACCTCAATGTCAGACCTGAAACTTTGAAATTACTACAAGAGGGAGAAGGAAAAACTCTAGAACTTATAGGCATAGGCAGAAACTTTTTGAAATAATTGCTAAAAGCAGATAGGAGAGAGACTTGACAAATAGGATTACCTCAAAATAAATGTATGAGTTGGTGTCTCACATCTGTAATCCTAGCTATACCAGAGGCTGAGATCTAAGTATCACAGTTCAAAGCCAGCTCAGGCAAGAAAGTCTGTGAGATTCTTATTTCCAATTAGCCATCAGTAAACCAGAAGTAGTGCTGTGGCTCACAGTGGTAGAGCAATAGCCTTGAGTGAAAACGTTTAGTGACAGTGTCTAGGCCTTGAGATCAAGCCCCATAGCTCACTTAGAAAAAGAAAAAAAAAAAAGTTTTTCTAAGGAAAGTTACTAAACCAAAATTGTCTCATTCCAAACAAATCTCCAAAAGGAAACTGACATATCTAATGTGTAAAACACATCTTATGACTCAATGGCTCTTCATACCTCCTAATGAATGCCATTTTATCCAAGGCAATCATGAATCTATGCATCTGTAGGCAGAAACTTTTTGCAAAGAG